GCAGGAATTGGTGGCCCAGATTTGTTCTTCTGTTTCTTGCACTTTCACCTCGCACTTTCATCTCAGTCAGAACTTACCTTTAAAGTGTGTTAAAATCATCTCCAGTTTTGCATAGTTTTAATCTGGAATTAGGGGAGTGGGATGGGTTGTGCAGCACTAGCAGGAGTTGAAGTTTAGGATAACAGTTGTAACACTTGCAGCCTAAATTTTTGTTTAGTTTCCCAGCTGAGCAGCTCTGGGGATTGAATCGCTGATGAGCCAGCTCCTTGTAAGAGCTGACCACAGGAAATGAGAGCTGAGCTTTAAAGCTTATCCTTAAATTGTTTGCCAGTGAGGCAAAATGTTCTTACATTTGAAATTTCTGAGAATTGGAGGCAGTGCTGTTTCATCAGCTTCTGTCACATCTCTTCTGGGAGAAAACTGTCCCCAGATGCTTTCCAAAGAAGAAAAGATATGGGTGGGATACACGGGGTGTGTAAAAAGTCCCCCAGCAATGCAGTGCAAAGCCTGCTGGGGTGTGTACTGAGGTGGATGCCTGGGGGAACCCGGTCGGCTTAACAAGCTCTAATTTTTATTAGTTTTTCTTTCTTTCAGACTCTGTAAACACACAATCTCTGAAATGCATTCAGTGTACTGTTAATCTGTTTAAAGCTCTAATCAGCTAAAAATGGGTTCTTCCTCTCTCTTTAAAATAGGGAGTCAAACGCACTTGTGCTGGTTACATGCCAAAGTGCAACATAATTGTACAGTACACATCGGCATGTTTTGTTAGTGCTACTTGTACTGAGTATTTTCTCTGCCTCCAGGTGCCAATTTTGTGTCATCAGATGGAGCAAATAATTTCCTTTTGGTAGTTTTTCACTGCAGCCCACCTCACAGGAGGTGATCTGAGGGACTCTTGTGCCCTCTGTTGAAGGGACAAGGCTGTCCCCACAACTTCTAAGGGCTTATGAGCATCTCAACAGTGGAGTGAGTGAATCTGATTTTGAGTTCGGATAAAATAATAGCCTAGTTTCTGAAAGAAAAATCTGCCAGATGATTTAGAAGAAATTAAACCTTTCAAGTGGGCATGCTTTCTAAATAGATTGAAACCTGCCTCTAATTCTTGATCTTCTTATATCTTGATCTTCACCATACAAAATAGGCTTTTATTAATTACTAAGTACACTGGTCATTGCAATGGAGTGCAACAACCAGGTATTTATTTTACACTTTGTAGTGTGTTGCTTAGAGGGCAATCACGGCTGTCATTTTTATTATTTGGAAAAGATGGAGAGAGGGGTGGAATTATTTAACTACATTGGTGAAATTGAGAAATACTTGCCTACAGGAATTCTCTAAGCTCTCCAGTTTGATCAGTAGGATCAAATGCCTAAGAGGCTTCAGCAGCATTTTATTACGTGTAATGGTATTCTCATTGAGGAAGCCAGGCAAAAAGCTCATCATGTTTTTATTCTAGTCTCAGGTGCCTATACAGAAAAGCTGTTTTTAGGAAATGAAAGTGATAAATTGGATAGCCACTTCACTTTGACTTGTTTTCCACAAAGCATAATGTGCTACATGTATAAAAGTATGCTGCTTCATGCAGTTATTTGGTTTCATACTTGTGTAGCAAATTTAAAGACCTTGTACAAAATTGTCTTTTTTTTTTTTATTTTTGTTGTGTACGTGAAGTCCATTCAGAGTGTGACTGTGTTCACAACCAAGCATGTGTCTTTGTGCTGAGGGCATCCTGCCTTGGCTTAGCCTGGTCCTAGAGATTCTACTCCTATGAGCTGGAGCCAGTAGTGTTTTCAAGATGCTTGCTGCAGCCAGTTGTTTCCCTTCGCTCCGGGGTTGAAGGCTCCTCACTGGAGCTGCGCACCTCGGCAGAAATGTTACTGCTTTTTTGAATCGCTTGGTGCTGTGAAAGGAGGAGGAGGGTGGCTTGTTCTTTGTATTTGACCATGCTTGCTGTTTTGTTTTGAAGGTGTACAAGGGAGAAGAGACCACATTCCACATCTCAGGCCTTCAGCTCAACACAGACTATCGGTTTCGCGTCTGCGTCTGCCGCCGGTGCTTGGATACCTCACAGGAACTTAGTGGACCTTTCAGCCCATCCGTTGCCTTTATGCTTCAGCGAAATGAGATCATGCTTGCAGGAGAAATGGGAAGCATAGATGATCCTAAGATAAAAAGCATGATTCCTACTGATGAACAGTTTGCAGCCCTCATCGTTCTTGGCTTCGCAAGTTTGTCAGTTATATTTGCCTGTATATTACAATACTTCTTTATGAAGTAGGGGATTCAATGGAAGTTTGAGATACAACTTTAACTAATGCTACGCATTATAATCCCACATTTATTCAGATATTCCTTTTTTTTGAAATCCTTTTGTTCTACCATACATTTTATATACTTCTCTTGTTTTTACAGTTCTAGCTTGAAGAAAGATAAATCAGTGTTTTGGTGCACCTTTTTGAAATTCAAAACTCGGAAGTGGTCAAACTGGAGAAACAAACAAAGCAGACACCAAAAGCAAGATTATGGTTTTTATTCACTGTTTCAAAATTGTCACCAATTTGCCTTTTCAACATTGTTTTGGGTTTTTTTTCACTGATGTTTGTACACTCTTTTGTTTTATCTTACTATTTAGGAAATTTGAATCATGAGTCACTTTTTTGTCGCTTCTTTTTCCTTCTAAACATTAGTCACAAGTGTGTATAGTGGTAAGACTAGAATACAGTGTTAGTCAACAGTACCAAGTTTTCCTTGAACAGTATTAGCCATGTTGCCTATGAGTTATTCACTACATTTGCCCCATTTTTTCAAGATAAAATGTAAGTTATTTTAACTGTTTAATGCATTTAAATTGGAACAATATCCTGCAGTTGCAAAACCTTTTTAATTATCTGTTACTTTTACAGTTGCAACACTATAAACTGCCTGTATAAGAAATCAAATAACCAAATTGCATATAAATTATGAAGCATTATAGATATTTTTTACCATTTTGATTCCTAGCAGTAATTTTAAGTAAGAGGGCATTGTGCAATAGTTAGTTATTCCCATGTTCAGCTATTTAAAAGCTGCTTTAACTTGTCTGTTTGTCACTGTATATAACTATTCCTATTCTAATACTAGATACTATTCTATTATGTTCAGCCTGATTTATATGATTATTGCTGGTGACAGCTTACTGCCTCTACTGAATTAGGTGAGATTTTCACTCAGTATAAGCAAACTTTACTGTTGGTTGATCTTTTTTTATTACTATTATTTTTTGGAGGGGTATCCATTTTATGGAACTTTTTTGGAGGTATCAGAAATTAGGTCTGTTTATTTTAAATACCTTAAATGGGTGTCTATGCTATTCTTACCACAGGGCTAATTGAAATAATAACTTGGTACATGGCAAAATTCAGATGAGAGTCCTGCAGAGGAATAGTCCCTGCTCTGATGGGAGCGTGTGCCCCTCCTGCCTGCCCCTTCCCAGACACACATTTTAATTCATCAAGATACTAGATTTTTAACTCTGGAATCATTGGGTTATTTATATTAAGTCAACATTGTGCAAGTACCTCAGGGACATAAATGAGCTGGAGGTGCAAACAGATTCCAAAAGGGTGCAACAGACACAGTGTATTTCCCTGCCTCTCATTTTTGTATATTTTTGCTACTTGGTTTTGCTTTTGTCCTAGCTATTTTGTGCTCTGTCTGCATTGTCTAAGATTCAGTGTCCTGTACTAGCATAATATTCCCTTAACCAAAGTAATGGGGAAAAAACAACATTATTTTTGTTTTAGGTTTATTTATACTATATACTGCATACAGTACTTTAAATACCAATTACAGTGCAATCTTTTATTTATTGTAAAAAAAAAAATAAAAAGTGTACTTATGTACTAATCCCCCTCTCTACCCTCCCCATAGCATGTTATATTCTGTCTGTTTTATACTGTTGTACTTTAGGTCAACTTTTTACCTGACAGCATTCCTAGTGTTATTAATCTTCTTACATTTTCTTGTGTTTTTGAAGATGGGAGCATCTAGTACATTAAATGCCAAAAAAAGAAAAACAAGAAAAAAAAAACCAACACATTATCAGTGATTCAAACGTTTACATATATCCAAAAACATAATCATCTCTGGAAAGAAAGTGCTAAGATCAATGAATTATTCTGTGTGCCTCTCTAGATGTAGCAGATATTAGAAATGTTCTGTATTTTGTTATTGACTATAATTAGTTTAATTTAGCCTTGCAAACTAATGGCATTGAGCTAAATATATATATTTTTTTGGTTTTGCCAAAGTCATGGCTTGTCAAATTTATTTACATCTTATTTAAATTTATTTGTGATATGAAACTTTGTGACCTTGCATCTGTATTTTGTGAGCAAAGCGTATACAGCTGTTTTCAGTGGCGGGGGGTTATTTTTTAAAACAATGAAAAAACTGCTAGTTTGGAAACCCAGAAACTTTAAGAGATTCCCTTTTATATTTTTGTTTCAGCAGTGCTGCTATGAAGTCCAAGCTTGACACCTTTTTTTTAAAAAAAAAAAAGGAAAAAAAAAATCCACCTTGCTTTAGATGATTTGATCAATTTTGATTTTGAAAGTTTGAAATACAAATTATGCTAAAAGCGGTGAGCAGAAGCAATCAGTTACTTGAAGCATTTCTGTCACTGCTAGTTTGTTTGGTGTCCCTTACATCAACGCTACCGAGAATGCCCAGTCCAACCCTGAGATTATCTGAGAAAGTATTCTGTAGGAGTTGGGACAGGCCCTAAATAAGTCTAATTTGTCATCATTTTTAGTTTGTGTATTCTGCCATAGTGATCTGGTTGTCATTCATATGTTGATAAGAAAATAAAGCATCACAGGTGTTAAACCATTCCTGTTGCGATTGCCATTACCACTGACATGCCCTTTACTGATGCCTTCTCCCGAACATCCTTATGCCGTATGGTCCAGCAGTATCAGGCATTTAATCCAACCCAAGGGCTCTCTGCTCTCAAAGAAATGATGAACAACAAATTAAGGTAGAATAAAACACTAAATATTTAAAACCCTTAAGGGAGGAGAGAGATGTTTTTATATGGTTCTGCCTTTTTCTTTATGAACTTGAAATATTTTCTAATCCTGTTTGTTGGCTACAGTAGCTCAGTATTCAGTGTCATGATTGAAAAAGTGCCCTAACTGAATGTGTATGAACTTTATCCTTGCACAGTTCTTTAAATTGAAAAAAATAAAATGTTTTTACCTCACTGTGGGAACATACATTCCAAGCTTTTCAACTTTAAAAAAAAATAATCATAAGTTTTCTCGTATTGTAAATTTTAGACTATTTCATATGCATTATATTAAAACTGCCATATCAGTTTTAATGTATAGATTTTGCAAATACTACACTATGTATGTAAGACTTAACTGTATCTGTAGTGTATATGTAATATATTTATGCCCAATAAATGTTTTAATTCTTTCTGATATTACCAGGACTTTTCCTAATTGAATACATCCTTTTCAGTGTGTGTAGTGCCTTGCTGCAGGTCAATGGTGCTGCTGCAGCAGAAGTAGGAGCCCTCAGTTTAACATGGGATGTTTCTGATTTTAGGTGGAATGATTTTTGTGTTGTGAAGTGTTTGCTGGTGTAGTTAAGGCATTTATGGCATCATCTTGTCTTAGACTGTGCTAAGCACACTGCGGATTGCTCGTAAAGCTGTTGGAAAACTGAAGCTCAGCCAGGCTGTTACCTGTGCCGTGCATCCAGAGGCTGCTCCTGTTTTGACCTCAGCATCATACAGGTAAATGCCAAATTCCTTCTCATGTGAGCTGGTTTCTGTAGCCCTCCGTCTCCTTGTCCATGGGAAATCGCAGTCCTCTCCGTGGCGCTGCCTGGCCTGGGTAGTGAGCTCTGACCACTGCCCCACAGTTTGCCTCCCTTGGCAAGTGAAAGTTTATGGAAATAATCTTAAAGTAAGGTTTCTGTGGTGTTTTAATCACTTATTTTAAATAGCTTGTGTGAAAATTTAAGGATGGTAAAAATATACCTAGATTGGTTATCTTTGAAATCAAACACTTGAAATACCAGAACTTTTCACTTATTTGCTAATTATGTGCAATAAATTCAATTACTCATCATAATTATTCTAGTATGTATACATTTTTCTTGTCAAACGCATTTTTTAAATAGCTTTGCTTTTTCAAATCACTGCATAAATATGCCTTATTTGTTTGCTTTTTTAATTACTGCAATTTACAACATGAGTGGGTTTTTCCTAGGAAAATACAGTCACTTTTTCACTCTGTTGCTCAGCTGGGGGGGGGTTTATTATTTTTTATATAAACAATGTTTGCCAAAACAATCTCTCTTCAACAAAATCTTTTAAATAATGTCTATAGAATACTAATAAGCACTTTGGTATCTGAAGAGATCTTTTCAGTAATCAATACAATATTTACAATATTTTTTACAATATTGCCATGGGTGTCTGCAGTGATGATGGAGGACAGCTAAAGCCCATAGGGGTGAAGGGGGATTTGGGTATTTGCTGTTTGAGCTCTGAATGTTATTTTGCAATATTATAACTTCCAGGCTTGGTGCAGAGGTTCTGGGTCCTTTTTCCACACCCAAACTAGGCAGAGGTGGGTAAATTGCACTAAGTTTCTGATGGATTTTGTTTTATAAGGAAACAGCAAATTGTAACCAGGCTTGGGCAATACTGTATTTACCAGCATCTCTTGCCTGCTTACACATGTTGGGACAAAAGTATCTGTTTAGAAAAGTTTTGAAACAGAGCAGAGGCTTGTATTTTTAGATATTTTTGAGGCTTTACAAGCAACCTTTTAGATGGCTTGGTAGTTGGATGTGGACCGTGGCACATCCTGCAATTTGAGCAATCTCTAGGTCTGCCTGCAGCAGAGTGGTCACCAGGTTGGTGGCTGCTGTTTCTATAGCAGCAGTAATTCTCTCTCAGTAATCAAAAAGCCTGTTCATAAACTAAATGGGTAGGATTTGTTTTGCTTTTTACTCCAGTCACTGGTGCAAGTTGGGAGCATGTTTAGTTTAGTGGAAGGGAGTTGAGCCCCTTTTAAAGGGGGGTATCTCTGTATGAGAAATAAGTGTATCAAAGCAAGATGCCTCCCACTCCCCAGGACAAGTAAGAAAGCAAACAGTATTTGGAAGTAGCTTCAATTGGTGTTGTTCACCTGTGGAGCTTTTCCTGCTCATTCAAGTCTTCAAATTTTTAGGAGATGCTCAGATTGAGCCTACTATAAATAGCACTAACTTGAAGGGAGGTAGATCTTAACTCTAGCCTTTGTGTCAGGGAACTGGGGCTCTCCTGCCTGTCCCTCCTGTTTTGAAGCATAACAGAGATGCTTGAAAATACCCCTGAAAATTAAATACTTCAGGAGCTTCAGCTTAGACACTCCCAGGGTGTGCTGTATAAAACAGCATTGCCTGAGCTACCCCTGCCTTGTGAGCCAGGGCGTCAGTGTTCTCAGCCAGGTGGGAGCCTGGCTGAGTTACCTGAGCTCTCCTGTCATACACAGGTTTGCAGCTGGGGAATGCTGTGATTCTTGTCTGACTGGAGGGATGGTGACACCTTGTACACAGAGCCTGTAGTGGTGGTAGAAGCTCAGTGGTTCAGCATCTGACTCCTTTGTCGACTGAGTAAAGCTGCTGTGATGTGTTTGGCATCTGTGGGGAAGAGTGGCTCCTCCTCTCGCATGGGGCAAGGGGAAGGTCTGTAAGGACTGCGAGTCATGGGTGAATGGGAGGAAGCACTTCAGCCTCTATCCGTCTCTAATGTGATTTAAATCACTGCTGTCTTTAATGGCCCCAGTGTGTTTTGCTTCTTTTGCTGAAGTTTAAGGTTGCAGATGACACGTGGAATTTAATCTTAAACTGGTAGAAAGTGGTGGGATGAGTCCTGATGCTTACAGCCCACCCAAATCTTCACATTGATGAGTAGGAAGCTGATGGAGCTGAACTGCTCAGCCCCTGCCAGACCCAAACCAAAACCTCTTTCTCCTGCTTGCATGTATGTTTGTTTGAGGTTAAACAAGTTGTACAAAACCAGACTGGTTAAAGAAGACTCCAGCTACAACCTAATCTTTACCTCTTCATACCAAGCCTAAATGGATCCTTCGAGATCTTGGCAAAGCTTGAGCAGTTTATGAAGATGGGGTGATTTCCCCACCAGCACCAATGACACATAGATGAACCAGAGAGTTCTGTTACACCTGTCTGCACCCAAAGGTATGAGAGAAAAGTTATAAAGAAATTAGTGGGGAAATGTGATTTATCAATTATATTTCCTGGGTAAATCTTTTTCTACAATTATAGAATTATTGCTGAATTTGTGATGTATTGTGATTTATTGAAGTGGTGTAGAATTATATTCTCTGTCCTTAGTATTCACCTGCCTTGGCGTGAAGATACAAATGTTATCTCTTATTCTTCTCAGCAATGAAACCACAAGTTAGTAGAGGAGGAGGATATGGACATTTTGTTTCAATATTTTTATGGCTGAGCAGAAGAAGCCAGATGAGATCCCTTGAAAGGGCTATTTCACCAGTATTACATTTAATAAGTTCTACTTGATTGCATCTGTTTCTGCTCTTGACAATTGCCCTCTCAAAATGTGCAGATTCTTGGCTGTGTGAAATAAAAAAATAAGAGGTTTCACAAGACACATTCGAACACAGTGGATTAGGCTGCGATCTGCTGTTACTTAGGTGAATGTGCTGTCATTAATTTGAGTAGTTACATTTACTGTGTTAATTGGTGGTATAGATGGTATTGCATGCGATCAAACCTATTTTTAGGTCTACTAGCATGGTTAATAAGTAACTGCTTGGGTCAATGTGCTCAGTGGATGTCATTTCTTGGTAATTTTATTAGCTCATCTCACTTCATCATATGAAAGCCATTACCGTCTACAATAAAATGGAGCAAACAATAGGGATGCAAAAGTCTTGTAAGGATTAAAATGTGAATAGAGTTGAGAAATTCCCCCTAATCCAGTGTAAATATTGTATTTATTGATTAATAGCTCAAATTCCCTTTCTATCCACAAAATGCTTGCAAGCAGGTCACAGTGTCCTTGGTTCAGAGGGCTCTGCTGCGCTGCCCACGTTCATGTCCCTGGGCAATGCGCCGCACGGGATGCTGCTTGGTGCCTGCCCAGCCGTTGCTGCAGCACATCAGGGTTCAGCACAGCAAGAAAAAGCATGTCTCTGCACTCAGCAGGACCGAATATTCCCTAGGATGCTGCTGTGCGGACTTTGTATGGTGTTACATGTAGCTTTAAAATTCTGATTGCCCTGGATTGCAGTGCTTAAGCCATTACTGCTCCTGTCTTTGCCTTCTCTCCATTATGGGGTGTAGGTGGTAGGCGTCTCTTCTGCACAGTATAGCTCAATGTTATGTCCTTGTTTAAAGTATGATGTGATTGACTGCAGTCTATTCTGCAGGAAGGGATGTTAG